TTTAGATATTAACGATAAAATCGACCCTTAAAACTGATTGCGCTGAAAGCTATGCAGGTCTGGTGTTAGAGAGTGCATGTAAACCCGCATGTCAGGGCTGCCCAGGCTTTACAGATTGAGAGTCTTTAGTGGTGGTATTACAAGCAGATATTTTAGCAAAAAAGCATAGAGTTAAAAAAAAAAAATCTGTAAAATATAACACCATTAATATGGATCTAGATTTATATGAAACGGGTTGTGGTGTTAATACCATGACCTAGAAAACCCTTCACGGTTACAGGCTGAAAAGCCAAATAAAGCCTCAATTTCATTTAAAAGCCTATTTATAGACTGAGTATGACGTTTTGTTGTCTGTAACGCAGTTTACCTATTTTATGTTTAAAGGAGCAAAGTGCTGATCTCCAGTTGTCACTATGGTAAGATTAATTGTTTATAATCCGCTTGCATCTGTATTGATCCACTTAATGTAACAAATTCTGCTAAAAAAACCCCCACTTTGAATAAAACATTTAATCTTAATGAAAAATTAATGAAAATGCTGAACTTGACATTGTTCTTTTCTTCTATGTCGCCATAAAGTTCACCATGTGTTAAAAGTCTGTATTTTATCTGCTATCTCCTAAATTTTTGAGTCTTTAAATAACGAGATAAGATGCTGTCCTCTTCATGTTTTATTTTCGTTTTTTAGAGCTTTGTCTGTTTCAGTATGAAATTTGCTCTCCTTTATTGACCCGCTTGTTCCCTGACAGGGTGAAAGAAAAGGAACCAACAAATACTACCCTCCGGATTTCGATCCAGCCAAGGTGAACGCCTGACCTGCCAGTTGTTGTCCAGACGTCTTAGTGCTCTACACTTACCTCTTTTGCCATTCTTTGCTTTTAGCATGGCTCCCTCAATGGCTACCATAAAACTCACGCCCTGCGGGAGAGGGCAAGAAAACTGTCCCAGGGCATCCTCATTATCAGGTCAGTGCAACAACAAAAGAAGGGGATTGATCTGGCAGTATTCTCTTTTTTTTTTTTTTTTTTTTTTATTTTTCAGCACTTTTTTGGTCAAGATCGAAATTACTTTATAGAGCCCCGTAGGAAATTTTTTTTGCCCAAGCAACACAAAAATAAAACACCTAAAATAAAAATGGAGTAAAAGTAATTACTAGAAAGTTCCAGATGTGCAATATACCACAGAGTCCAATACAATCAGTCAGATCATTAGTTACCAACAGCTGTAGTAGTGTACACTTGACCCAGCCATGATGAGTGAAGGGAGATTTACACTACATGAGGATTTTTACAAATCAGAAGATGTTTTAATATAACATTCAGCCAGATTGTTTGATTTTTACCTGACTGTTTTTGTCTGTCAAGGTTTGAAATGCCCTACAACATCTGGTGTGATGGCTGCAAGAATCACATTGGCATGGGTAAGCTGAAGTGGAAAAACTAAAGCACAGTTATTCAATCAAACAAAGCGTCTTTTTGTTTTTATAACCCAAACGATGTGTTTTGCAAAGGCGTGCGTTACAATGCCGAGAAGAAGAAAGTGGGGAACTACTACACCACGCCAATCTATAGGTAAAAAAAAAAAAAAACAGCACGAGGCATAATTTATAAAGTTTATTTTGACAAAAAGTATGTTTTTAAGCAATAAAAAAAAGCTTCTTTCTGTTCTCGCATGTAGGTTTAGGATGAAGTGTCATCTGTGCGTCAACTACATCGAGATGCAGACGGATCCTGCAACTTGCGACTACGTGATCGTGAGCGGAGCGCGCAGGAAAGAGGAGCGCTGGGACATGGCTGAAAACGAGCAGATCCTCACCACAGGTAGAAGATTTGTCTTCACCAATAGTTTTGCTTCCATTGTCGCCTTTGTGTGCGTGTTTTGCCCCGTTGTGATTGGATCATTCTTATGTCCTCTCTGAGCAGAACGGGAAGAGAAGGAAAAGCTGGAGACGGACGCCATGTACAAACTGGATCATGGCGGGAAAGACAAAGAGAAGCTCACAAAGGCTCTGCCGTCTCTGTCTGAAATCCAGGACTATCAGGCAGGCTGGAAGGACGACTTTCAGCTCAACAGCTCCCTCCGCAGGAAGTTCAGAGTAAGACAATAGCTCTTTTACTTTCTCCTTAAACTAAATGCAAAAAATGTTAAAGATGAAAAAGTTTATTAGAGGTTCAAGATTGCTTGTACATGTAGAAGCATTGTAGATCTACATCTGTTTACCTATAAGTCCTATAGCCAGTATTCATTTCTGGTTCATATTTCCATAACGCTCGGCTGAGTTAGTCTGCAGAAATAAATTTTGTTCCATAAAAAATTCCGAATGTTATTTCTTTCCTGTCGTAAATCTATATGACATTTAAGATAAAGTTAATAACTGAAGTTTTTGTTTTTCTTCAAGTCATGACATTTAACCAAATTATTTATTCATTCGGTAAGCAATCATAAGGTAAACTTTGGTAAAGTCATTTTTTTAAGTGTTGCCTTTCAAACTTTCATATAGCAATTTTGCTTTCCCCCCCCCCCCCTGTATCAATAATTGGCACATGAACTCTGGAATTATTATAAAGCTAAATTTGATTTCCCACTACAGATGTGTTTTTTTTTGTTTGTTTGTTTTTTTTTTTTTAGATGTGTTCCATTTTAAAATAAAATTGTTTCTTTATTTGACGATTCAGGTAGAGAAGAAAGTTCTGGCCGAGCAGGAGGAGAAAGATAACGCTCTAAAGATGAGGGCAAACTTATCCATACCACTGCTGCCTGAGAAAGAGGAGGACAAAAAACTGGCAGGACTACTAACGTACCAAACACCCGACTGTAAGTACCACATACAGAGATATCAGAGATATGCTCTCGCGCTTTAAATAATTCACAGATATGTTTATAATTTTTTACATCTTCTGTTTAAATCTTAAATTACCTGCCTGCCTAAATCAGTTTTATGTCAACCTTATAAACATCCTCATACATGTTGTACATCCAGAACTAGAACTTATTATCCACCAAATAAAAAGATACATTCATCTATTTTCCAAAGCCAGGGCGTCAGCATCTGGTCTTTTCATAATTTCTTAACTAATTGTAATCATTCGCTATATGAGCTTCTGATTTTGAAGACATTAATAAATAAATCTGACATATTTTTTGTACATTATTGTGCCATTTAGCAAATAGAAATAATGTTTGTACATTTTTGGTTTTAACTGAATATTTAGATATTCAAGTGTATTAGAAGGCACTTTTTATTATTTTATGCAAAATGTCCTACAAACGTTCACAGAAAACAGTAAAATTATCAAAGAAATAAACTTAATGTATAATTCTGATACAGTTTTATAACTATATATAAAGCTTTTTTTATGTGTATAAAAACAATGGATGTAATCTAATGAGTTAAATGTTACTTTTCATTTTTTATTTTTTTTAAAGCTTATGAGGACAAACGGCACAGCAAGCGGAAAGAGATCGCCTCTCGTTCGTGGTTCAATACCTCCTCCACTCCAGCGGGGGGCGCTGCAGGCAGCCTGCTCCATAAGCTAAGCCTGCAGGGGAAAGAAGCAGCTGTGGCCAAAGCCCTGGGTTCCTCCCAGAGCCCGTTAATTCGCAGACGCTCCAGCGGATCTGGAGCTAAAGCCGAACAGTGTGCCACCAGAACCCAGGGAACATCTCAGCAGGAGGAACTGCCAACGCAGACAGAAAAATCTCAAAGTATAGGATCTCCACTAGGACTAGAGAAAAATCACACTAATTCCAAAGAGCTGGTTGCCAAAATTGCAAAGGAAACAGATCAAAGACTGATTGATACAGTGGACTGTGGGAAGGAGAAAGAAGAAAGTAAAAGTTCTGGAGGAATCACGTCACTAGTTGCCGACTACAGCGACTCAGATTCTGACTCTTGACTTTGATGTCGACTAATAACCTAAATGCTGCTTTTTCTGATTCCAGAAAAAATATAAATGCTTATAAGAATTGAGTCAATCTGGTGTAGCATGTTGCAAAAGCAATACTAGTGTTTTGAGGTACAGTATGCTCTGGAATTATACTTTACATTTTTTTTGTCATCTGCTGAATGCATTTGTCATCAAATCAGAATGGATCTGTGATTGTTTTACATGTAATATCTGTCTGACAACCATTAAAACATTGGTCACTTTGGTTTCTCTCCTTGAAGTGCCGGACCGTGTCATCTCTTTTTAAAACTGGCATACATTTGTTTCACCATTTTAGTTTTTGTTTTTTTTTTTATTTTAGGTCTATTAAAGTTTAAAATGACAATTTTCATTGTGAATCTGAACTTTGCTGTATTTTTCCAGCCAACAGACACATTTTTTTTCCATGATAGTTATGTTTCCTAGCAATTTTAATAAAGCTTAGATGAGCTGTGGATAAAATATGTGGTCATCAGCTGTTTAAACAGTAATAAATGAGATGTGTAATCTGATGAACTAAATTACGAGTAGGTGTTCAGAGGGGAATAGCAGAGCTAAATTTGACTTCAAGGCTGTAAAATATCTTCAGAATCTGAAGTTGTTTTTTTTTTTATCTCAGCACAATAACAATAAATGTTGCCTTTTAATATAAAAAAAAGTTAAATACGTTTTCTAAAAAACAAAAGCAACATGCTGTTTGTAGTGGCAGAGTCATTTAGAACAGTAAGATTAAGAGTGTTTGTGTGTTTTTCTTTGTTTTTCTTCTTCTTTTCCAGTAACGTGGGATTCTTTCATTTTCAGCCTGTCCTGGGACACATAAACCAACAGTAAGAGCTGTGTTTAAACATGAGGAAGATGTTTTAATATGAGTCATTTGCGTTTCCCTTTTGTTGTTTCGGAAACCACTGGATGTGTCGATAGAGAAACTAATCCGTTAAAATAAGTATTTTGTAATCTCTGAAATTTCTCTTTTCCACAGTGGACCTCTGACCCTTTGGCCAAGCTCAAAGGCTGCCCCTGGTTTGTTTTTCTGTTTGTTCACAATCGATCGGACACCCATGACCGGAACATCTCCACAACTGTATACTTGAGCCCAGTCCACGGAAACCTCTGAGACGATCAACATGTTTCCATGGAGGCTGCAAAATATTTTATTTCTCCTTCTGTTCTGCAATTCTGATGGACAGATTTTTGGCAGTAACAGAAGAATGTGAGATTTGTATTCTATAAGAATTTCTGCTGTTCATATCATCAAAATTTTAATAGCTAACCAAAATTTTGTGTGTTGCAGCCAAGTGCCTTTCAGGTACAGTGTGTTTGAAGACATTAAGCTGTGTGAGTGGTTGCAACATTGACATCTACAAGCTTCAGGTAATATTTCTGATCTTTATCTCCAGAGAGATAACGTTTGATAAATACGTGGAGATCCCTCTGTAAGTAATCAAAGGTGGTATTATTGTAACACAAGATCTGTAATATCTGTACCAATAATTATTACAATAAATATATCAAAAACACTATGAAGCCATAAGGCTATGTTTGCAATATCGGATTAATATTCATGTTTGACCAGCCTCTTCCAGTTAAAAAGAGTTAATGCTTCAAAGTATTACAGGGTAGAACATATTGTTTGACGTAATAAAAACTAAACAAATTTATGTTTTTCATACCACATTTGTACAGTACAACGTGTTCATCCCCCCGCATCATTCAGTTGTGTCATGTCTGAAGTGATTCTTTGTCCCATTTATTTGCAGTGTACAAGATGCAAAGAAAACCATCGATTCTTCACCAAGGTACTGTTACATTAGAGTAAACAACCCAACAAATAAATAAACTTGTAACGCTAACACGATTCTGACTTGTATCTCTTGATTTTAATTCACACATTCTAATGTTTTGACATAATGCGAAAAATCTTTACAACAATTCTGGTATTCAGACGCAGATGTAGTACGGTTAATTTTAATACCTTAGAATCTCATCAAAAAGTTGATATACTTCCGTAATTTAAAAAAAATAACAATAAAAAAGGGCTGGAACATTCATTGCAAATAGAGTAATGGACTATATTTCCAAAACATACTGGTGAGTTGTTTTCCCCCAGAAAACCTGCCAGCAACTTACCAGCGGTCCACCGTGTTTTTGTGTAAAAAATGTCAAAAGTAAAAAAAAAAAAAATCAAAGGCGCACGAGAAGGTATCTTATAATTTGGAAATTTGGGCAGGTACGTGCGCATCCTCACGTGCCCCAACTACAACGCTAGCTTAATCCACCTTTACTGTTAGTGGTGTATAAAAACCATATTTAGAACAAGCAAATGACGCTTAGCCTGAGAATTTCTAGAGGACTATATTCGTGTTTGTGTTGAAAAACCTAATGAAAATGCGAATTTCATTTTTCATCAGTGGCACTTGTTACCTGCCAGTCATTACGCCGACACGCTAATGTACCTGTCTAATGTCGCGGTGTTTTCCCCGAAGGTTCACTCTGGTGGCTCCCGACATCCTGAGGACCGACACCGAAGAAAACATCTACTTACAGGCAGACGGCTTACCCACTCCGCTCATTGCCTCCATTGTCATCCAGGACTTCACCAAAAGCGTTATGCTCCTCCAGGAGACGGCCATACTCAATCAGGAAAATGGCTTCCATGTTCTCAAGAGCATAGAGGTGAAATATGTTGCAGTTTCCCGATGGTACATAGGTTCTAACTAAATAAATACTGGCTCACATTGTTTTCCTTTAGCCACGTTTTTGAAAGTTGTCAGCATAGTTTCTCTATAATGCCAAGCAAAATCTATTTAACACACTTTAAAACTGTTTCCACAAACAGTTACCAATTGTAAACCTTCTGGTTGTCGCAGCTTTCATCCGCGCTCTTGAATCGTGAGGAGAAAAGGAACAAGTTTGTTTATCTGCAAGTGAACTTTGGCAGTCATCACTCCATGGAGCGAGTGCTGATGGTGTCCTTTCATTCTGGCTACATCTTCGTCCAAACCGACAAACCCATTTATAACCCCGGAGACACCGGTGAGAACAGAACACATTAAAAAAAACTAATTCAAGAAACAGTCAAAGCATATTTGCAACTGTGTAAGATGTTAGGTTGTGTGTGTACTAGAAACTAAATCTTTTATTTGCTCTCTTTTACCAGTTCGTTTCCGAGCTTTCGTGTCTTCTCTGTTCTTTAAGGCCTTGGACAGCTCCATCACTATAGACATTCAGGTAACACCTTGTCAAACTTAATCAACCAAGAGATCCAACAGTTATTTAACACAAATGTTGAACGTTGTGTGTTAGAATCCAGACGGGGTGGTGGTCAGTCAGGTCTCCAGGACCCGACCCACTCAGGGCATCTACGCCGATTCCTTCCCTCTGTCTGACATCGTCAAGTAAGATGAGCGAATTTGTTTGGCTTGTTCTTCGTTAGGCTTCTCTAATCTGTTAAGTTGCGGTCAGCAATTAGCCTCCTTTAAGTTGTGCAATATGGATAAATACAGTGGGGAACATCTAGAAGGCAATAACTCGCTTTGGCAAAATGCATTCTAAGAAATTTAATCTTTTATTAAAGACAGTGAGATTGGCAGTTTCTCCATCCTCCAGTTAAATTCCTCTTCAGTGTCTTCCACATCCATTTTTTTGTTTGATTTCCATTGGTTTCAGTTTTCTAAAAGTTGCTCTAGCTCTAGATCAGCACTGTTTTGTGTAACATGTTCTACTGTCTTTCCCATTTTAACATATCATACTTCAACTCAACAAAATTGGAAATTAATGATTATCACTGATTAAAAGTTTCTTGACGTTATAACCAGGTTATAAAGGTATTTTGATTAAAGCAGTAGTTTCCTCATGTTTATCACATCAGATTTGCGATCGGATGGAAACCAGCTGTTTTCACAAAACTATCACCGTTTAAATTCTATTTAGTTTATAAATTATTAAACTGTTTTTTCAACCTAAGGACATTTTTCCTTTGATTTTACAGACTTTCTGTAATGTGTCTGTGTTACAGTGAAGGAACATGGCTGTTGACGGCAAAGTTTGACCACTGGCAGCAGAACGCCTTCACCTCCCGTTTCGAGGTGAAGAAATATGGTAGGGGAAGTAAATTTGACAAAGTTCAAAGCAACATTCATCACGGTTTTATGTGCTGTACTCTTCTAGAATCTTAATCTATGTTGTTTCCTTGATGTTCTACTAGAAATTATCCAGAAATCTTAAGCTTTAGATTTGAATATTTAGTGAAATCCTCTGACGGTTTTAGGAAACGAGGTCATTTGGACCCCACAGGTTTTTTAGTGCAAGCATTAGTGTAAAAACTTATTGACTTTGTTGGGAGCAGTGATGACTATAGTGTCTGACTTCTGTATGAGCAAAGAGCATAAACTGTAAGGCAAGACATCTTAAAATAAATAAACAAATGTCTGAGGCTAAATCCATGGGATGTAATTTAGGTTTTATGTAGGTCATATTTTCAAACAGCTGACCTGTAATTGTTTTGTGTTCAAGTTCTCCCTGCCTTCAACGTTACACTGACCCCTAGAAAGCCCTTCCTCAGCCTGGATGACAACGAACTGGTTGTGGAAATTTCTGCAAGGTTGGTCGCGCTCAAACCTCATTGGCTCTCTGGCCAAACAAACAGGAAAGCAAGACAATAACTGTGAGCCAAACAGCCGATTTGTGACTAAATTTCAGGTACTTGTTTGGGGAGCCGGTTCAGGGGACGGCTTACGTTGTGTTCGGAGTGAAACTCAACCAGGAGATGACGAGGTTACCTGCCGTGAAGCAGGTGTCGGACGTAAGTTTGTCCTGCCGCGTTCAGTTTTTGAAGTTACATGTGTGTATTTTTATTCTCTGTGGTTGAAATATTTTCCTTTTGTAAAATATTTCAAAAGGAAAATATTATTTTCACATCAGTTGAGCGGTCTGATGTGAAAATAATGAACATGTCACCAAAACACAGAGTTGGTAAAGTTTCTTATCTGCAGAGAAATTGGCGCAGGAAGTTGATCAGTTATGAACAACTGATTGAATAATATTAAAAGAATCGAGTCAAACGGTGATAAAGTCATAATATTACAAGAATAAGGTTGTAGTATTACGAGAATAGTTGTAATATTGCAACTTTAATCACGTAATGTAACTTTATCCTTGTAACACTATGAATTTATTCTCATTTTATTGTAACTTTATTCTCTTATTAATTTATTCTCTTAATAGCATGGCTTTATTTTTGTAATTTTTAATTTTGTTTTTTTTTCTTACTATGACCCTAATACTCTGTTGGATGTAGAAGAAAGTATTTATGGCCTAAAAAATAAAGAACTGGGAGAGCTTGGAGATACTTTATTTGTTTTTTCCCACACCTCTAGAGGGCGCTCACACATCGTTACAGTTTAAACCTATACCTCTATATTAAAAAACCCATAAATATAACATCCCACCTGCTTAGATGTTGATATGGATGTTTTCTTGCAGATTTTCTAAATATTTCTCACCAATTTGAGATCTTATCTCCACCATGAAGTGAAATACAATGCTGGTGTTAAAAGTCCAAAGCAACTCAAGACTTTTAGTTCACTAGAGAAAACCTTCTGAAGGTGATGTGTTAGTTTTTATGAAGTTAACGCTTTAGAAATGTGGAAATTCAGTGCTTTTCTCCTCCTCATGCCTGCAGCTGGATGGAGGAACCGTCACTCTGAGCATGCAGGAGCTCAGGAGAGCTTACCCCAACATTAGGAGCTTAGTGGGAAACTCTGTTTACGTGAAAGCATCTGTGGTCACCAAGACAGGTAAGAAAACAACCTGCTGGTTGGATGTTTATCTCCACCATAACTGGATGTAAAGATCGGCTTTCATTTTAGATTGATTTTTGAAAGGATTTTGATAACATTTTGATTTGTTTCCATGACAACCAGCTACACAGTGTTGTTTGTTGCTTCGAGGCCCAAACTTTCCAGGATGATGCAATCCGACCCGAGCTTATCGAGATCTCTGGTGTTATCAGAGCAAGTCTGTTGCATAGTTAAGGTCGGATGTCTATCCACTGCGTTTGACCTCCTGGGAAAGAGAAAACCTTTTCAAGTTAGATATGTTAGTTCTTTATTGATATTTGTCAGTAAGAAATGCTGCCCTTTGTTCAGCTGAAGGTTCACAAAACAGCCAAGTTAATTTGCGCTTTAGAAATTGTCTGGAAAAATCAATTAAGGGGAAGCTAAGTGCTCTAAATACAAAGTTAGCAAAAATGCTACGGCGCTAAACAAAACATTAACTCCACTATTAGCGCATCAGCGGTAGTGCGCTTCTACCACTGAAATCACTTTGTGCCAAAAGTTCAGATTACCTCACAATGCAGATGGAGATTAAAATGAAAAACATTTCTATTAAATGTTGCACCTGTACTAGTACTCATGCCCATTTTACTTTTTCAAAGTCTCATAATGTTACAGTAATACATTTTTATCTGTTTTGTGACGATTTTATGAACTACACCATCACAAGTTCTAAAAAAATTTAAAGTGGAAGGAAACATATGTACGGTAAAAACATATCTGAGGAGTTTGTTGTGAATTTGTACTTTTTAGAGTTACCTAATCTGCCATTTTCCAATTCTCCCCTCAGCTCAGATGAATTGGCAGGAGGGAGTTTGCGAACTTGAATTTTCACTATAATGTGTTACTCTATTAAATCACACTCCAGTACTTTAGTTTGTTAGAGTATGAATAATATATTTGAAAGACAAGGTGAGTTAATGAAGTTCGGTTTCATGTTTAGTGGCTCAACGTTCCTTTTTGTGACTCAGTTTCTGACCTTTTCAGGCAGCGATCTGGTCGAGGCAGAAAAGACTGGGATTAAAATCGTAGAGTCCCCATATGTCTTATCTTTTAAAGACGTGCCAAAGTACTTCAAACCAGGAATACCATTAGACCTAACAGTAAGGACCACCTTCTGTGTTTTTGCTTTACACCAAATAGTTCTTTAGCTTTGACTAACAATAAAAACCTAACAGCATTCATAAACTCTTCCAGATTCAGGTGAGCCAGCACGACGGCTCCCCAGCCCGAAACGTTTTGGTCAAGCTGACTCATCTGGACGCACCACTGACCGTCTCATCAGGCACCGCCAGAGCCAGCATCAACATGCCCAACGTACAACATCCTCAAACGCTCACTGTGAGTATAGCTGCCTGGTAATATAGCATTAGAAAGGATAAATGCTGCTGGGAAAGTCAGTTTCTTCCAACTAAATCAAGTTAAGTTGTTTGATGGTGAAGTCGTATCTCCCAATCAGAGACCTTGAAAAAAATGATTCATACAGTAATTACCTCTGTGAGATCATGGTAGCACGTCGTACGTTCGGCTACGTAAACGGTCAAAACGCAGCAGCTCGTCTTTAACAGACACTAAAAGACGTGAGCACATATCTCCGGTTCTGGCTTGATTTTCAGATTTGAAAAGATTTAGCCCAATTATTTCTCTGTGGTCGTCTTAACATCCACACAAGAGCTCTTCAATCAACCAACCAGTTGCTCTGAGGTGTTCCTAAGTTAAAATTCAGAGGCGCAATTTGTGCTCCTCAACTTTGGAAGGTGTTTCCTGTTCATGTCTGCTGAGGCTGTTGACACTTGTAAATCTTTGCTCCAGACCCCTTTTTTTTCTGATTCTGGTCAGAGTTTAAAAATCTCTTATTCTGAGAGGTTATGGGAGTATATTTGTCCTCCTCTTGTTCTTACTGTTGTATCTTGCTTCACTCTGTTGTTTTTATGTGCTATGTAAATAAATTGACATTATGAAAACTCAGAATTTAGAAACTTTTTGCATATCTGCACACATTTCACACTCCCACCAATGTTTGTGCAAAAGACCTCTATCGTCTGGGATTTTTGCTTTCCAGGCTGAGACGGCACAGGCTGACCTGAAACCGGAACAGCAGGCCAAGCAGCAGATTAGGCTTCAGCCTTACATGACCAGCAGGGGGCAGCAGAACTACCTGTACATCTCCACAGGAACCAACAGAGTGTCTGTAGGAGACAGACTATCGCTGCAGTTCTCCATCTCTTTATCTGACCCGTCACACAGAGAGTTCATCAAACACATCACCTATCTGGTGAGATCAAGCAAAATGTTACAACAAGTAGAACGACAATCAGGACTGGGCTGAAACGATTAAATAATGATGAAATAATCATCAGCTAAATTAGTAATTGATTAATCGGTAATTGGAGAATACAGACTAAAACAAAAATGCCATATGCTAAAAATCGGTAGGAATATTCAGAGCAGTAATGAAGCCAAAACTGTAAAAAGAACAAAACAAAACTATACATTTTGCATTTAAGATAGAAACACCTTTGTGTGCGAAAATGTTTTAGTCAAAACTCCTGGCAAAGTGGCAAAGTTTTATCTAAACTTGGTTCAAATAAAATGTTGAATTATTTTTTATACATTAATATTGTAACATATTTCTAATAGTTTATTGAAAAGTTTGAAGTGGTTAAATTAAAACTCTGTGTCATTTTTTGTTATCTGATTAATCAGTCAATCTTCAGACAAATTGATTGAACAATCATTTACAATTGTTAGCTCCAATCTTAATCGAGGGTCAAATCTACTAGAATTAAACTATTTAATGTTTTTCCCCAAACACCTGCAGGTGCTGAATAAGGGTAAAATCGTGAGCGCCGCGCGTCAGGACGTGACGGGCCAGCTGGTGACCAGCGTTGGGCTGTGGGTCACGGCGGACATGATGCCGTCGTTTCGGGTCGTGGCGTTCTTCACCATTCCCTGGTCGGGGCTGGAGGAGCTGGTTTCGGACTCGGTCTGGATCGACGTGGTGGACGGCTGTGTTGGAGGGGTGAGTGTTTAGTTCCTTCTCGGAGCCAACAGGTTCTGTTTGAATGCTTCGGATTCACATAGAGAATAAAAGTTAAAAGTCAGACGCAGTTTGGTTAGTTTGTGTGGTTTTATCTGCATTTCATTAACAAACTGAGACTTTAAAATGCCATTTTAAAGAGGAATTGAACCATTAGATGCAGGAACCTGTATCCAGTGGTTCAGCAACTATGGATTGTATTTAAATGGCAGAAAGTACAGAACGATATATAGCTATATTTAAAGTTGTCTTGTTCCTTTTGTATTTTTGTGCAGCTGAAAGTTTCAACAGACTCCGTACAGCGTCAATACACACCCGGGAAAAACTTCCACTTCCAGATCCGAGGAGACCCGGGGGCAAAGGTCAGCCTGGTGGCTGTGGACAATTCAGTGTATCTCCTCAACGGGGAGCGACTCACACAGAAAAAGGCATGTCTTTAATTTATTCACTTATTACATTTGGAATATGCTGTAATGTTACAAGTCTGTATAAAATGGGTTTTGGTCTACATAGCCTTAGCCTTTTTCTTAACGGAGTCCTGTGCTCAGCTCTGGGACGTGGTGGAGCACGGAGACATCGGCTGCACCAGAGGGGGAGGGCGAGACGCCAAAGGAGTCTTTACAGACGCCGGACTTCTTTACTTCTCAAGCGGCGGAGTCAAAACCGACACCAGGCAGAGTAATTTGCACACACCAGTTCCGTTATCAAATTGGAAGAATTATCGCTAGAAATTGTTTGGAACTGATTCAGCTTAGAGTTTTTTTTTTTTTATTTTACCATAAGAGCCAACAAGTTTAGTAAGATTTGAGAGCAGCTTTACCTCAAAAATGCATCTTAAAGTACTGGGAAGAAATACCCTGCCATGGAGACGTCGCTTCTTTCTTGTTACTATTATTTTCATCTATTAAGAATAAAACTTCACCTTCATTGAAATAACTGATAAATAAAAGTAGCTCCTCTTCCCTTCTACCTAAGAGAGCATGTTATAGTGGTGGGACAAGATTCAAATTTGCAATCAAATTCATTGTTAGTCTGTAATTAATGAAATCAAATTTGGTAGCATTTTGTTGATATATTATTAGTAATAATATATCAATTCAGAAATCATTTGTGTAGCTTCTTTGAAAGAATCCCTCTTTATAAATGTGGACTATGGATGCTGACATTAGCATTAGGTAGGTCTGAGCTAATCAACATGTTTTACATTGAGATGCTACTCTAGGCTTGAATAGTTTTGTATTAAGCTAACTCCTTTTTACACGACTTGCACAGAACAGTAGTCATTCCCAGAGTCCCATCAGATCATTTTTTGAAGCAAAATTAACCTCAGTGGGCCAAGAGAAGCGGGTTTGTCGTCCATCGATGCCGATTGAGCATCAGATTTACTGGTGCACCAGAAACACACAAAAAACAAAGTTCCGGTTCAGGACTTTTGCATGACAAACATGTCAAAGTCCCGGTCCTAAGTTTTTCTGAAAGTGAAGCACAGTTACTAAAACACATAAAACAACAACACTGCGCACATTCTCAAAAAATATTCCTTCTTTCCATCTCTGTTTCCCATTTCAGCCCTGCAGTGTCCAGGCAGTACCAGAAGGAGGCGCTCTGCTGAACTCATGCAACGTAAAGCAAGGCTGGGTGAGTATCAAGATGTTGAGATTCGATTTCAGTTCTTTTTTAAGATAAAATACACAATACTGGCGATTTTGTTAAAACAGCAAAATATGATTTTTTTCATATTTGTGGGATCTGAGGCGTATGAGACGGGCAAAATTAAGCTTCTTCACCTCCTCCCTGAGCTACTAGTGCCATTTGCAAAAATTCACTGTCTCACTGTCAAAAACAGCCAATGAGAGCCAGGAGGAAAGTCTTGATGCTGTCAGTCATGCTCATGTATGTGCCGCTAAACATGCTAATGGCGGAGAAACAACTTATCATTCCAAGAAAACCGTTTATCCACCGTCATCTGTGGCTGTGCTAACTAGCCTTAGCATTCAAGGCTGGCTATGTTGTGATGAACTAGCTCTAGCGTAATACACGAGAGTGATTGCCAGCGCTAAGACCTCCTATCTCTGATTGGTTGTGTGAAACTGAGTGACATATTTCTGCAGTTTGTAGTGGGAGCACTGGGGGAAGGAGTTTGATTTTTTTTTCACTGATTACTTGTCTTATACTCTCACAACATAATGACAGTTTGAACAAATATGTAAAAAAACCCATGTATATCTATTTTTATTAAAAGTAAAATACTGCAGCTATAAAGCAGTTGGTAAATCTTCTCATTATCTGTGACCTTGACAGAACAGTTTGTCCAAATTCTGCCAGAACCTCCTCCAATATCAACATTTTGAAACCAAAGCAGCTCCTATTATGGAAATGTCACGGTGATAGCACCAACAACAGGTTCTGATGTCCCTACTTGTTCCCTTCCTTCATTTCAGAGAGTCACTATAAGGAGAAGCTGCAGCAGCGCTGCTGCAAAGACGGCCTCAGGGCCATTAAAATGCCGTACTCCTGCACCCGCCGCTCCCTCTACATCACCGAGGGCCCGGAGTGCATCCTGGCTTTCCGCTACTGCTGTGCCACCTACAGAGACCAGGTGTTCAGCACGGAGATCCCCACCACCCCTCCACCTCTGACCACCCCTCCACCCTCAACCACCCGTCCCCCGAACACCCGTGAAATAGTGGTGCCTTATCCTGACTTTCCTAGAGTGAAGATAATTTCAAGAGTATGGGCTTCACGGGGTACATACGCAAACTCAACTTTTTGTTTTATTTTAATTTATTTATTTTTTGCTTGTGTAGTTGGTTTGTGTGAAAACTGCCAAACTGATTACATATTACCATCTTATGTAAGGTCACATTGGTGTTAAAGGTTGCACATTATGACAATCTCAGCAAAAACAAAAGTGTTAATACATGATAAAAGTCTTGAATTATATTATGAGTGTTTTTCTTTTTATGATGATGATAACTTTTTCATGAAAAAACAGTGGACACCTTCTCCAACTATGCAAATGTCCTTTGTGTGCAGGTGTTGGGTTTTTTTTCTAACGTACAAATTCTGAATTCCTTTGGCAGAATCGAGCAAAGTGATGCGCATTTTAGTGGAGTCTGCTCATATACCCTCTCCTGCTCATATACCCTCTCCTGTGTCGGATACCCTGGAGGACGATGAAGAGGAAGAAGAGTGGGAGTACATGGATGAGACTCAGGTCTATCTCCGCTCCAAGTTCTATGAGTCCTGGCTGTGGATAGATGTGAATCTGCCGAGCGAAACGGACAGAGACGGGTGAGCGAACCGATGAGAGCAGCTGCTACGTCCGAACAGATGATCTCTGAACTGCCCCTTCTTTTGATTACATTTGTACAGAAGCTCAGAGGCGGTTGGGACAAAATCTAGTCTGAAAAATTTGGGCAGAAATTGCTAATGTAAAACAAAAACAATGTTTGAGATCAAGATAGACGGCAATGCTGGACAACGAAATATATTTCCATTTCTTTTGGTTTGCCTCTTTTCCAGCAAGACCAACTCTCTTTTTTCTTCCTTTCTTTTTCTCTCTTTCTCAGCTTTCTGAACGTAATGAAACTGTGAATGTGATCAACAGGTTTGCTTTGAAAAACATGGACAGTGCTTTACCTGACAGCATCACAGAGTGGGGAGTTTTGGCCATCAGTGCATCACATCAAACAGGTAGAGCAGACTTTTGACTGATGTATTAATCGTTACTCAAATTCCCCCCTGCTGGAGGTACATGACTAAACATGTAGTTGTTGCTTAAATCATAACTGTCTTTGGCTTTACAGTACAGTAAGTATTTACATTTTAAGGCAGATGAAGGTGTAAAGGCAGACCAAATTGTCAAGACGTCACAAAAGCCCGTTAGACGGTACAAATTCAAGCAGCAGTGGAAGCACGTCTCCTTTGCGTCTTCAGAAACTCATGGTTGATCTCTGTGTGACTGTAGGTTTCTGTGTGGCGGAGCCGTATAATTTCAAAACCTGGAAGCATTTCTTTGTCGATCTCAAGCTCCCATACTCTGTGGCGAGGTACGAACAGTTGGAGATCAAAGCCGTCATCCACAACTACGGCTACGATGAGATGCATGTGAGAGGATCCCGTTCCTTTTCCTTTTTTTATTCCATTGTCTCCATTGTTGTTCAGCTTCCTGAGGCCTCTTTCTGTCCAGGTCAGGGTGGTGCTGATGAAGACCGAAGGCATGTGCAGCGTCGCCTTCAAGGACAGACACACCCAGGAAGTGACGCTGCCGGCGGGCTCCTCCGTGGCAGTGCCGTACACCGTTGTGCCACTGGTGGTGGGCAAACTGCCGCTGGAAGTAATGGTGGTCGGCAGAGACATGACTGGGGGCGACCGCATCCGGAAGTTCCTGCGAGTTGTGGTGAGTTACTGTCCTCTGGATTGAATTGGGTTCTATTACGATGTATTGGTATGTAAATTAACTGACTTACTTTGAAAATGTCTTAGTTTGATTTTACAACAAAATTTGCGTAATCAGTTTCTCTTGGCTCAAACAGATGGACGGAGTGCAGAAGACCGAAGTTTGGAGTGCCGTGTTGAACCCGTCTTCTCAAGGAGGCATGTCGTTTTAACTTCCATGTCGAGTCGACCGCATTCGAAGGCTCTGCAAGATTTTATGAGAATATTTGAGTTGCTACATTTCCTTTTATGTGTTAAAGCACCTGTGTCAAACACGAGACCCGTGGGCCAAATCCGACCCACCATAGCTTTTTATGTGGCCCTCAAGAGTCTAGACTAAACTCTAAGTGTGCTTAAATATTATTTTATCAATCAAATCAAAGAAGTTTTTATCTGTTTACTGCCAAATTATATCAATCAGTCCCTCCAGTTTCTTGTGAATTATTGTGGAAATTCATGGAAAATCATCAAATCCCTGCACTTTTTTTTTGCGCTAATACATAATTGGGAGCTAAGTGCAGATTTTACTCAAAAATTATCAAAAACCTTTTCATTGGTATTAAACAACTGCCTCAGCTTTAATTGATGTCAAATTATAGTCCATGATCTGCACAGCGAGTAATAAAAAGTCACATTTACCGTCATAAATAAGTGCAAATATTTCCAAATTAGTTCCACAAAAGATGTTAAATAATAATATTTAACTTTAATAATTAATTGATATCTTAACAGGTTGTGAACAGATTTTATCGATACCTTCTGGCACAACCGGCCCTTTAAGAGCATCCATGATCTCGATTTGGCCCAGAACGAAAATGAGTTTGACACCCCTGTGTTACAGGAACTCAGACGATTCGCGTCGGCAAGACTGAACTGGAGTCGGTCGTGCCGAACTCTGTGCCAGAGACGTTCATTAATGTCAGAGGTGAGTCGAAAAAGCAACTTAAAAATAATAGTACAGAGAAACAGAAGATTCCTGATCGTTCTGCTCATGTAAATGTTTCCTTCCAGGTAACGTCTTGGCGGACAGCATCGATAACTCCATCAGCGAGGACTCGCTGGCGTCTCTGATCCGGATGCCCGGTGGCTGCGTGGAGCAGAACCTGGCCTCCATCACTCTGCCGCTGATCGCCACGCTCTATCTGGACCGAACCGACAACTGGGAGAGAGTCGGGGTGGATCGCAGAGACGAGGCTCTCCGATACATCAAGAGAGGTTAGACGGCAACGAAGAGTTTTTGTCGATGTAAAGAAATTGAGAAATGAAGGATTTGATAATTGGTACTTTCACTGGGGAGTTGTTGCCTCATAGACCAATAAAAAGATAAAAAGTAAATAACATATTCTTCGAGAAATCCGAAAGGCTTGCAACATTTTTAATTCATTAAGTAACTGGAAAATAACTTGGAATAAAACAGTCACTTTGCTTTGCGGTTGTATGTTTTACCTTCACACTGACAGTCACTCTCTCTTGCTGTTTCCTTTTAAATAATTACTTTTACAACTTTCCGTTTCACATTGATGTCATTCAACACTGTACTGATACAGAAAACGGTTAGCGTTGAGTCTTCTGCACTCGGTATCGGTGTCCTGTTGTTGACTTGGTGGGGATTATTTCTGATGGTTCACTTATCGGTTGTCTGACGCCTGAAAGTTGAAATATTTCTCTCTGCTCTTTCTATTATTTCATGCTGTTTTGCTGTTTTTTTCTTAGGCTATGAGAATCAGTTGGAATACAGAAGGAGTGACGGCTCATACCCCCCCTACAGGCGTCAAGGTGCAAGTACATGGTAATCCTGCAATGTTACAGTTTTACATTTGATTGCAAAATCCCAAAATTAGGTAGTTAGACATACACCAAAATGAACTTTTATGCCAATTTTCCGCCACCAGTTTTTATAAAGCTTTGACCTGATTCCAATTTCTCTTTAAGGGTTGTGTTAGAAGAGGATAAAAGCAGAAAGATAAATTTCGTAGCTTTCCTCAGTGGTTGTTAGTTGTTACTAGTCGGAGCAGCTTAAAGTTAGTCCTGGCGGTGTTTTGTGAGCACGTGTGTCCAAACATCGGCTCATCTGGGTTTCAATTTGCAGGATCACAGCGTACGTCATCAAAGTGTTCTCCATGGCTTACTCCATCGTTAGCATGGACGAGCAGCAAGTGTGCGAGCCTCTGCTGTACCTGGTGACCAACAAAATCATACCTTTAAGTGGAGTGTACAGAGAGGACAACCCAGTTTATTCCACCACAATGACTGTGAGGCTTTGACTGGGACACACACTGTCTGGTTTACTGCAGTTTGTCCCTTTTCTATTTTTTTCTTTACTTATTTTCTCCTGTATGTGTGTAAGCTAACATCTAGTCACTGGATCAGTTATGCTTATGAAAAACCCAGTCTTCTTAAAAAGGTCTCCATAGCAAACGGTTAGATATGGGATTATTCTGTTTTATTCTAGCTTACATTTCATTACAAAGTTCTCATTTAAGCAAATTTTTAATTTGATCATTTCAATAATGGGCTACAAGATTATTTTTTGGTTTAGGAATGCAACACATTCAACTAAAATTGTTAAGGATTTTTTTAAGCAAATCATACTATCGGATAAATTGATTATAAAATAAAAAAACAACTTTAAGTTGTGTTTGAATTTGATATGAAACTATAAGTAATGTAAATAATCTTAAGCATAATAAAATAATATGCATGTATTTGTGCATAATTTTACATCTTAGATTAAATGTAAAGACGAGCAGCAAGAAAGTTATAAAAATCAGAAGAAACGAAACATAGACATTTAATAAAAAATATTCTAATAAGTAAGCAAACCTTTTTTTACATACTAAAGCGTTCAGATTTAGACTTTTTGTTTTCAAACCTCTTTTCTTTTTTTTTTCTTTTTTTTGGTCTTGTTCTGCAGGGTGGTCTCCGTGGTGACGACCCACAAATAACCCTGACGGCTTTTGTCCACATTGCAATTGCTGAAGCCAAGAAGGCAGGAATCAGCTGTGACAGGTCCGAAGTGGAGGTAATTTACACACAAATATGTATCTATTATTGTTATTTTATTTGCCTTAAATTTACTTTTTACATCTTTGTGCAGTTTTTAAGGGAAGGAGATCTTAAGCACATGAAATGCAAAATTATTGCATTTCGTGTTTTGTAATATGTTTAGTAAACAATCTACAAATAAATAGACAAATAAATTTAGTTTTTATTATTAATGGGTTCTAACAAATCTCAGATATTCACAGAAAAATTGGATTTATATTTACATTTACTTGCACACAAAGGTGAAGCTTACTTACTAACTGGGTGACTTCTAAAGGGAATTATCATCTGATGTACCTAATAAAGTGGCCAATAAGTGCAGTTTGATTTACCCTGACAGAGTCGAGTCAAAACACATTTGTAATCTAGTGACTTTGTGAACTTGGTTACCATGGATACCAGCTGAACGCTGACCCATCATCATCTGCCAACAAAAACGGACCAGCAGATTTCCCCGTAGATTACAGATCTGATTGATCTCAGTAGATCGCATGTGGTTTAGACTCCCATTCATATCATTAAGTTTTACCACAGTTTTTTCCTTTAATGTGATTTCAAGTCTGTGATGTCACTTCCTGTCTGCTGCAGTCGGCCACCGCCAAGAGCACCCAGTTCCTGAAGAAAGCCCTGCAGACTGGAGGGCGGAGGCCGTACACGGTGGCCATCGCCTCCTATGCTCTGGCTCTGCAGGGAACACAAGACAACCTCCATCAGACTTTACTGCAAGCAGCATCTCCAGGTACCTCATACCCCACATGAACGCTCCAACAATACCACTGGATTTGATGTCGCATCGCTGGCATTTGAACTCCGTTATGTTGCTTTTATTATTATTTTAAGTGAAAAGACACAAACCCGAAGTAAACCTGACATATTGTAATTACGATTTTACTGCTTTTGTTTCTAGACCACCATGTTAGTAAGCCTGTGTACCTTCTCCTGCTTTTAGCTTTTGCTTAACATCTCCTGGCTCCATTTTGTTGCTTGTTGTAACTGCAGGGTGAGTCATGTGCAAGTCATCCGGGATGTGTGATTGATAGGAGCAGAGAAACACTCATGCCGTGTGCTGTGTTTATTACTTACTTTCTGTATTTTCTCAACAGGTTAAACTATCAAATCATCCATTTACACTGAAATAAGTAGATTAACACAACTACATCGTACTTTCTCCTTTGGTTTCCTCTGTGCTGTCGGCTTATTAAACGCGGAACAGAAGTCGGGTCGGACTTGACCTGAGTTTAAATTTACATTTCAATTTGGACTTGAATTTAAACTCTGCGTTGCTCATCGTCTGTCTTCTGCTTGCTCATTTAGATAAGAGCCACTGGCCTGACAAGGAAAACCACCTGTTCACTCTGGAAGCAACCGGCTACGCTTTGCTAGCGCTGATAAAGTTGGGACGCCTGGAGGAGGCCGCGGCGCCCTTCAAGTGGCTCAACGGTCAGAGAAGAATAGGAGGAGGCTTCGGCTCCACTCAGGTACCAGCTGAGTGGACTCGTCTGTTTTTACCTCAGAATATACCAAAATACACCTAAAATATTATATGCATTGCATTAAAGGCATAAAGTTTACAGTCCTGCCCAAAGTTCTGAATACTTCTACCAGATTGTGATCTTTTGTTTTCACCGTCTTTATTCCAACTGGAAGTAATTTGAACTTTTCTGACTTGTAGTGGAGAGTCTGTGGTTAAAGATTAGGGTGGTGGTAATGAGGCCTTCCAACCTCAAAGGCAAAAATAAATCATGGAAACATTCAAAGAGCTGGTCAGCAATAATAACGACAAAAAGGTTTTTCTCAGTAATTATGGAGGGGGGTGTGAAGGATCCTCTGAGATTTTTTTTTTTTTAAATAAAATTTCAATAAAAGTAGGGTTTCTTTTTCAAATTTGTTCTTCTTTCATGCTGTTTAATATTTTAGTGTCATTTCCTGTGAGAAACAAACTTCTTGGCTGAATCACAATAACTTTTAATCCAAATCTGAATAATTTCGGGCTCAACTGAAGGCAGACACAGACAATTTAAATGCATTCACACAAAAAATACCACCTTTGAAATAACTTGGAACTATTAAATGCTTATTTGCATTCCATATTTTTACTCTCTTTACCACAAATCAAAATCAGCTCTTATTTATTGATTCGGTTGAATATTTCATTATATGTAGGCAAATTAAATGTGCAACAAAAAGATGATACTTTTCATATTTTGTGGCAGAGCCTTTAATAGAAATGTATTTTTCATCCCTTTCTTCTTGCAGTCCACCATGGTGGTGCTCCAGGCTCTGTCAGAGTACATGATCAGCCGGCCTCCGCCTGCTGACCTCAGCCTGAACGTGGACATCAGGATGACCGGACGCAAGGAAATCCGCTACTACTTCAACCCCGACAACGCCTACGCTGCTCGCTCCTCTAAAGTGAGTCATACTTCTTTCATTAAAAAAACATTTTTTTTTTTTTTTCATTTTAGAGGATGCAGGTAGTGAAATTATTAATTGCTTTATTACTGAACCGTCTGCCTTTGTTACCTGTTTGTCTGTTTAGTTGCCTGCTGGTATCGACATGGAAGTGGTGGCTGAAGGAAACGGACAAGGAATCCTGGAGGTATGAAGCAACATTTACGAAGCCAAATCTCTTTATATGAAAGTTAGAATAAAAGTATGTCTTAGCAAGTTAGAACCATAAACCTAAATTCAGTAATATATAGGCAAACCCATTGTCATTATATAGATTCATTACACACAGTATGCCATGCAGTATTTGAAGCTTTCATTACTGTTACTGCTCATAGAAATCCAGTTTCTAATAAAACATGAATTGTACATAAGACCAGTAGTTGTAAAAACATTGGCCATTAAACTAGTACTTTTAAATGTAAAAATAGTGGTAATGTATTGCAATATAAAAGATTACCGTTGACTCCATCAGACCTCCAGTCATTGTTTGTTGCCACATTGCAAACAAGCTGTTCACAGTGTGACAAACATATTCATGGAAAGTTGAACAGAAGAAAAAAAGACGCATAAACAACAGATATTTAGTGAGATGCACCTGCATGTAGGATTCACTGTGGAGTGGATTTTGGAGGAGTAAGCATATGTAAAAAAACAAACAAACAAACCAACAAAAAAACACAATATTTTAAATTTGAAATGTTTTTCTTACTTGTATTTGTTAAATTTTCCCCTCAGGTTGTGACTCATTACAACCAGCTTCATGAAGTAGAAGAGAAAACTCCCTGCAGCCACTTTGAGCTCAGCGTTAACATTGAGGAGTCCAGCGGTAATTGAATGCACCATCTCACACATGCAGGATTCACAATTGGAGATTGAAAATACAGTTTTAATGATAAATATAAACTTAAATACTTAAGGATTTGTCTGCCTAAGTTAACACTGGAATATAAATAATATTTTTTATATATGAAAATTGCCATCATAAAACTTTGTGAGGCTTTAAAAAAACACAAAGATATTTCTCCTTATTATTGCAGCAATAGCAAATAAATCCGTTATACAGTTGAGTAACGAGATTTTACATAAAGTTATTTTTATTGTTTCCGTTTAACACCAGAAAAGCCTCCAGCTGATGCAGAGAAATCCTACCAGATCACCATCAACGTGAGGTGAGACTTTCTGATATATTTCATGGGTATTTTCATAAATAATGATACATAACACTGTAAAAAGTCAACCTTTGCCTTTAAAGCACCAACAGCTGTTCAGGTTTTATAGATGATCAGGGTTTTGTATTTTTCTATCCCTTCCTTATTGTTTTCACATTTTAAAATGTCTGTCATTGTCTGTTGTTTGCAGATCTTTGGGACCCAGAGACGTCAGAATGGTGGTTCTGGACATCAGCCTCCCCACTGGCTTCACCCCAGAAAACTCAGACCTGGAAATGGTAAGAAACCTTTTATGATGGTGATTAGAGGTGGATGTCACAAATATACCATAATGTATCATAACAAAGCTGCTCAGTTCTGAATTATTAACATTTGTTCTGTTTGTTTGTGCAGCTGTCCAACTCTGTGGATCATTACATCAGTAACTTCAAGATCGTAGATAATCTGAGTGACAGAGGGTCTCTGATCATCCACCTGTTCAAGGTAAAACAGAGTTTATTAACGTATGATACCGGATGACAGAGTTCACATCTGTTTATTCATTCAAAAGCTTTAAAAGTGCAGCTGTTATTGTACTTTTTTATTATATTTTGAATGTATTTACTTTGTAATCTCTTGACATTTTCTCAAAATGTTACGTATTGCAAAGTTCCTTTCTTTTAGGCACTAAGCAGCTTTCTTCATAGCACAGAGGAATATTTTATGTTTCAGGTTTTCTTTGTCTCACTAAATCTTTGTTCTGTTTCCGTCTTTCAGGTTTCGCACACAGTGCCAGAAATTCTCATCTTCAGGCTGCAGCAGACCTTTAAAGTTGGTCTGCTGCAGCCGTCTTCTGTCACTGTTTACGAGTATTACAACCCAGGTAAGTGAACACGCTTCACACACACGGAGCAGAGTGTGTGCATCAGAAATGAATCTGTATTTTTACAGTGCCTGGTAAAAAGTATTCATTCCTCAAAACTGCTGCACAATTCGTCCACGTACAGCAACAGATTTTATTTGAAGCTTGACCTTTTTTTGTTGTGCAACAACAAAAAGGTAAAAAAAAAAAAAAAACATTTATTTTTGTAGATAATTTCTGAAAAGTAGGACTTGTTTTCAGACTTCTTTGTTCTGACGCATCTAAATAAAATCCAATTTCACCAAGTGCCTTCAGAAATTATGCAATTTGTAAATAATATCCACCAAGCAGACATGTCAAAGATCTAAAGCAGAGTTAGGCTACAAAACAGCACTCTAAACTTTTGACTTTACACATAGTAATGTGTAAAAAAAAAAAGTGTTTTGAGATAAATAAAAATATCTGATGGTGCTTCCTCATAGAATTACTAAAAAGTACAAATATTAATCTTTTTTTTCTCTGATTATGTTTTTTTTTTTAATTTTAGGTCAGTATCTTTTGTCCTAATTACAATATGTTGACGTTTGCAGTTGCAACTTGACAAAAATATAAACATACAACTCCGTACACAAGAGGAATTGAAACTTTCGAGGCAGTATTCTTAATTTCCAGTTATGAAATTTGACCCATATGAATGTTTGTATTAATCCCAAAATATGACCCTTTCTATTTGTCACAATGCGAAGTCATTGTTTACATAATTTACCTCATTTGAGAAGATTTTTAAAAGCTCCCTGCTCTTCCAGATCACCGCTGCAGTCGTACTTACTCTCCCAGGGAGGACAGGGAGGAACTCAGCAGGATCTGTGACAACAACGTCTGCCGCTGCACGCAGGGTAACAAGTGACGGCGCCGCAGCTGGAAATCATCACATATTTACGCTTCCTGCCATAAATCCAACATTACACTTTGTGTTATTCTATAGGTGACTGCTGTATCTCAAAACCTGAACATCAAAATTTCCTCAACAAAGAGAGAGAGATATTTGCCTGCGCAAGCTTACACCACGGTATGATTTCAGAAACAGAGCCGATGTACATTATGAACAATTTATTGAAGAAGAATATAGACACTCAACCACAGAACACACATGTTCATATTAAACATTAAATCTGTGTTTCAGTTTGGCAGGTGAAGGTGCTCAGTATGAATCAGAGCTACTATGATAAATATGAGATGGAGATTACACAAGTTATTAAACTTGGTGAGTGGCAACAACGACTATTTATCTATCCATCTATCTATCTATGCTAACTAGCATATATGAACACCACACCACAAAAATATATTCTTTTTTAAGTAATTATAAATTGATATGTTTTTTTGTTTTGTTTTATTTTGTTTTTTTACCTGCAACCCTCCCGGTGTGGATGCAGGAGACTAGCTAGCTAGCCAGGTCAATAGGAGACTAGCTAGCTAGCCAGGTCAATAGGAGACTAGCTAGCTAGCCAGGTCAATAGGAGACTAGCTAGCTCGCTAGATCTTGACAAACAGCCTAATGCTGGTACAAAGTGAACTCCTGACTGGACTACATGTTGTACTTTAATATTTGTGTAACTTTTTAATCTATCTAGCTATGTAGCTCACTGGCTAGCTCAGTTGTCATTAATAGCAGACTATAAAAGTACATTTTTAAGCTACTCTATGTAAATTCTAAATTAATAAGAGTGTTTTTTTCCCTCACCCCTCCAGGTGTGGAGGCTGGAGTTGAAGTTGGTCAGAAGAGGTTTTTCCTGTCACATGGTGGCTGCAGAGAAGGACTCAACCTCAAACTGGGCTCCCAGTATCTCATCATTGGTCCTAAAGAGGACCAGTGGACCACTGACCCCGGCAATAACAAGTGAGCAAGTACAATATTCTCAGTTCTAGTAAGCATAGCAGCACATAAACCACTCAAAATTGCTGAATGAGCTTAAAATATAAGAGTCTGAGTGACATGCTCTTATAGTAGACTGTGAACATTATGTCAACACTGATAGGTTTCAGTGCAGATAGTAATTTAATACAAAAGTGACATTTTTGAGCCTTAGGTAGTCATAGAATGTGGAAATTCCTGAACTCGGTGCTAGACAGCTTTTAACGTGACTTCTGTATAAAAAATAGAAGTCAGATTATTTTCTCTAAAATAAAGTTTGCAGCAATAAAACACAAATTACTCAGAAATTCTCTGAAGTAAAAAACAAAACAACGACTAAACCTTCTGAAAGCTCTCCACTTATCCACTGGATATCCTTTTAAGAAAAATAATCTGTTTAATTTGACTGCTTCTGGTGTGGTGAGATGTCAAATGAAGGTGCATCAGCAGCACTAACAGGGCTAAACTCATTTCATTTTTAACCTATTTTTACATTCGCCTCCAGGTTTATCTACATGTTGGGGAAGGACACCTGGGTGGAGCACTGGCCTGCAGATGCAGAGTGTTTGAGCAATCCCAGCATGCAAGCCAAATGCAAAAACCTCTCTGATGCCTCAAACGAGCTGTCTGCGACGGGCTGCAGGCTGTAGCTTCAGCTGTTGTTGATTTTAATTGTACGTCTATGAATGCACGTCTGTAAGAAGCCAAAAAAGATTAAGTAAAAGACTGCTGTACTGTCCGACAACATTAAAAGTGTTGGAGCTTTCCTGAGAGCATATAATTAGACATGGGGAACAATGAGGGAGTGCAAGAAAAAGCCCCACTCAAGAATCTTGTCGGCGACTCTTTAAAGAAAACAAATGATTTAAGAAAAAAAAAACATTACTGTATTTATTCTTAGGTCAGTAAATATTTAGAAAATTAAACAATGAAAACTGAATTCATAATCTGTGCTCAAATACAGAAAAGATGTTTTGTGTATTTGCACAAATCAGAGTACTGTGTTCTGACATGTGCTCCAAATATGGAACATTAAAAATACACGTACAACTGTAAGATTACTTCCAGTTTTTCAGGGACTGAACAGCTTCCTTTATTTGTGTAGTTCGTTTTAGTGAGTTGAAGTCTACGTATCATGTGTAAAACAATTCTAGTTGTACTTGCAAAAGAGGATGTTTTAAAATAAAATGGATTGTGGTCAGGTTTGGTGAGATGGGCGCAGCGCTGTGGATATCAGAGCAAAGTTCCTTCCAGTTATTAATTTGCATTGTGGCCAAGATGGCGGTAAAGTCAGAACTGTTAAACATTGTACTCTACACGAGCTGGTGGTCTTGTTCGCTCATTAGAGAAAAACTCATTCTGATTGTTTATACAAGAATGCTGTCATTTACCAATAATACAGCGTTTCCTTTTTCAGATGTGTTCAGGCGTGAATCATAGTTAAGTTCAGTTCCATGTCTCCCATAAGTAAAACGTTTAAAAGAGGAAAAAAAAAAAAAAAAAGAAAAACCCGCAATGCAGCTGTGAAATGATGTCAGAGTTCACAGATCACAGCACACAGTCACTGGTGCATAAAGCGACGGCCACAAAGGAAGAAGGCAGTGAAAACAGAGTCAACAGCTAATATAACAAAGATTTATGTTGATTCTTCCAGAGAAGACAGGAGAAGTCGGTACAAACCTATAATAGCAGTCGCTTTGAGACGTAACAAACCGGCACCCCGCTTATAGACTCCTGTATCAAATCTTGGTTACAGTCAACAGTTTGTGACAAAAATTAATAAAAATATAAAAAGCTTAAATTCTTGTAGACATGACGTCTGCTTCAGATCGGGTTTTATACCTGTGCAGTGATTTGGTAAGATATTCCATCAGTGAATGGAAGCAACTGAAAGTCTCACATTTGAACACACAGTCAGTCTTTTTTAACACAAGCACATGTATTTGGGCTTCAGTAATGTGGCTATCAAGACATTAATACAGTTACAGCTAGCATACACAGTATAGTTCATTTTGTTATAATAGTTGATTTTGTAACTTCAAGCAAACTGTACACATATAAAGGAAGTTAAAATGATTATGCAACCTGTTCATTTGGCAACAGTGAGTCATCACTTTTCTTTTTTTTTTTACAAAGAAAAAGCACATATTGCTGATAAAACAATGCATTTTCTCCCCCATTAGTTTAATAAAAAATACCTGTGGTCACCTTAAAACTCCCACAGTCTTGAGGAATGGGGATCATTTGGATCCCACAAGTTTTTTTATTCTGTGCACGGTTACAAGTTTGTTTGAGTGTGTTTGGTTTCAGGAACTGACGGTCTGACGGGACAGCCCCCTCGCTGTCCGACCGTGACATGAGCGTTACGCCAACACTGTGGGAGTGTTAGTGGTCTGGCTGTTGACTTGTAGAGCTGGTGCAATGCTCTTACTCTCAAACCTTTTGTTGCTAAAGGCAGGATTAATTATATGGCTGAGGTGTTAAATGGTCCTGGGGGAAAAAAAGAGTTTGCAACAGAAAGACTGTTTTTGTGGGTGAGGAGAAATCCATCCCCTTCATCTCATTACCTCACATCTATCAACCACGCTTCCTCCTGTTTGGGAAAGTTTGAGCACTCACTCATGGGTTTTAATTTCATCCTTTCAATGTCTTCCAGATGACGTCTTCTCTATATATATGGTGTTACACTTTCTGTTTCATTGTGTCACAAAGCAACATTTGTTGAATTGTCCTCTTTTCCAGCAATAATAATAATGACAATATGTATAAAAGGGAAATTCGAAGCAGAAAGTCCATTCACTGGGCACTTTGGTCCATCCTATTGTTCACCTGGAGGCTGACTGCCAAAGCTGCAGGTAATTATGATGAAAAAAGAACAACTAGACAACCACAAGTATGTCTGTAAAGCAATAAATATTAATTACCCCGTTTAGGTTTATTTATTACGCTGTATAAAGCATTTGAATCATCTTCGGGTTCTGGGTTTTCAGTTCTGAAAAGAAAAAAGAAATGAAAATGCAACATGAATAACTTTGACTAAGTAATCTGTGAATAATTATTTTACTTGGTAAAGCAAGTCTGTACAACAAATCCTAAAAGAGAAACGCTCCATAATCAGGCTACTCTTAACAGGTGTGTATATATATATATATATATATATATATATATATATATATATACACAGCATTTCACCAATATTTTCTCTTTACTAAATAACATTTCACCAGCATAAGGAAATATTGTCTTCTCTAATAATTTAAATGTTCTATTTCTTAATGTTTACCGAGCACGACGTTAGCGAGAGCTACCTACCTCTGGCTAAACTTGACAGTAGCGTACTCTACGTTCTGCTCTCCCTCTTCCTCCAGATCAGCTGTGCCGGTTTTACCAGGTGTAAAGTTTTCATACACAGGATCTCTCTGCTTCCTCATGAACTGGATGCTGGCGTACTGAAGGTCTTCCTGCGACTTCGACAGGCTGCCTTGGCTCTGCAGGACCAAATGCATTTCACAGTCAGTTACATCTATTATGAAGTTATAATCCACACAAGTCAAAAAAACAAAAACAAATGAATCCAGAAATGATGTGTAGCGAAGCACAATGATGTAAGAACATTCTTACTGAAATTTGTTACAGACCACTAATAAAAACCCAACCAGCTGACATGAATTGGTACTAATCAGAACAGGATTACTTTTTAAACGCTGGCAGATTTTATGTCTTCGTAAAGTTTCTTGTGTTCAACACTTATTCCGTAATTCCAGTTTGTCCGCGGTCCGGTGGGATCGCACTGACCCTGTGTGCGCCAGGTAATTTTTTTTTTTTTTTTTTTTTTTTTTTTTTTTTTCGGAAATGGCGGGTTAAAGGAAAAACCCTCCCCCCTTTCTTT